TAGCCTCCATACTCATTTTACTTACCAACTAACATAAAACCTACTCAACTGAGCATAACATACTGCTTCAACAGACAGCTTACTGGTATGAAACAAAGATCTCTATTCTCTCATATTTAATGTTAGTACTTTAACAAAAAATGTACTAACTGGGTTCATGGTATATAGGGAATTTCCAGAAACAAAACTAAAACATAGCGTGTAGTAAACGAGTTGAAAAATCTAGAAAAGAGATTCAAGAGACAAACACAAAATCAAAGGTATAATGAATTTTGTTCAGTTGTACGGAGGAGAGAGGGTTCACTGACTTTATAAAAGTTAGGAAATTAAACAGGCCATGCTCAAAACGTTACAATGACATCTAAGGCTTGTTCAACTATCAGTTAATATCTCCGTGGTAGTTGAAACAATCTTTTAGAACTCATAACAAAATGAAACTATTTTAATGAACTTAATGAACAGGCGCCCCGAAAATGCCAGGCCAGGTTTCCGTGGGATTTATTGGCAATCCAATTAATGTGGAATTACTCGATTCAGGTTACGGGGGAAATTACTTCCACCTCAGAACACGCGTGGCTCAGTGTCTCCCGAGAAAAGAGGCGCCCCTGAGGAGTCCTTCCCGACCCAAGAAGGGCAGGCCTGCCCACAGTTAGCCCCTTCGCGCTTGCTGGAAATGAAGAAAAGTGGAGACCTCACCGAAGTTGGCAGGCCCGCCGCGCGGCTTCCCCTCCGCTATCCGGCCCGGGTCACCTCCGCTCACACCCCCACACAGGCCGCTCCGGCTACCCTCTCCTGAGTTCGCGCGGCCACCGCCTTCGTCTCCGTCCAGTGGGAGGTGCGAGCATCCAGGGCTGCAGCCGTGCACACCGCTTCCTCCATGGGGGAGCGCCCAGGGGAACTTGTCCCGGACGACCTCCCTCCCCCACCACCGCCGCCGCCACCGCCGCCACCACCGCCGCCACCAGGACCTAAAGAGACAGCGAAAGAGAACCTGGGCGCGGCCGAGTGACGCAAGAGGCAGCGCGCGCACGCGCAGTGCGGCGCGGCAAACGCCCCGCCCCCGGCGCGCCTTCCGGAGTAAGGGGCGACCCCACCACCGCCGCCGCCACCGCCGCCACCACCGCCGCCACCAGGACCTAAAGAGACAGCGAAAGAGAACCTGGGCGCGGCCGAGTGACGCAAGGGGCAGCGCGCGCACGCGCAATGCGGCGCGGCAAACGCCCCGCCCCCGGCGCGCCTTACGGAATAAGGGGCGGGACAGAGGAAGGTGGTCTGGATCGTTGGCTGACCAAGTGATCAAAATCAAATCAAATCAGCATCAAGAAGTATCATGTGCGGTGAATTCTCACGCGCGGTTAGCACATGAAGCGACATCTCTAAGCTATCCTAGGGAAAGGTGCTCCGAGAGGGCAAGGGCGAGACTCGAGTGAGACCCGGAGGCCCGGGCGAGTAGGAGGCGGCCAAGGGGCGAAACCGAGTGCTGGGGGCGGGGCGGAGTTTGGCTCCGGGTAAGGCCTCTAACTAACCGAATCCGAATCTCTTCGATACGTTCTTTGGGAGAGTTCACGGTTTGCTACAAAGCCGACCTCCCGACACTTGGGAAATTTATTTTTCATGAGATGCACGGGAAACCCACTGTTAAGCTGCCCTGCCTTGGCTTCTTCCGGAACGTAGAAAGTTCATGGGACCCATGACCATGGTTTCGTCAAAAAAGGACGAAGAGGGCTCATTTATTTATTAGAAACCAGGAAGAGCAACTTTAGCTGGATCTGGAGTGAGACCTGCTAATAAAACAATAATACCTTGGTTACAGGTGCAATTCCTCTGAGGATATTTTTCTTTTTCCAGTTTTTGACTAGATGTGGGAACACTATTATTACCAAATTTAAATAATTTTGGGTGGGAATCTTTCTAATATGAAGTCTGTGCTTATTTAGTCAGAAAACGCCAAGTGTAATTTGCTTGTTTAGGACTGCAGTCTCATTGGACTACTATTATCTAGACTGCACAGTCCCTGACTACTCTGGTTTTGGTAACCATACAGCTTCTAATTTAAAAGTTTTTAGTCTGCCCTAAACTTGGCAACCAGACAACTGTCGTTTTTAGAATTGGCTCAGAGCAACTTTTTTGTTTACTATTTTGGTCTCACCTGTTCTATCTAGAGGACATGGTCAAATAAGCAATTACATTGACTATTGAAAGATAGTTGACAAGCTGGTCTCTAATGATGCAGTAGACTGTTAAAAATGGCTCTAATTCTGTACCCATCCGAGTGCCCACACGTTTTGCAGAGTAGCTTTGCAGTTCTAATCCATCCCGACTCTGCCTTAGCCAAGAAAATGTGGTGGTTGCCAGCCTAAATTATGATAAGAAGCCTGGACTCGTTGGCTGGAGGAGGAGACCAGGTGGAGAGAGCACCTTGCAAAGCCACCTAACTGACCCAGAGAATAGACATAGAGCCAGGTTGGTTGAGGTACATGAAACTGTCCTGTTGATCCATAGATACATGAGAAAAAATGAAGGAATCTTCTATTAAGCCACTCTTTTTGACGTGAATAGGTATGTAGCTGCTGCTGCTGCTAAGTCACTTAGTCGTGTCCGACTCTGTGTGACCCCATAGACTTCAGCCCAGCAGGCTCCCCCGTCCCTAGGATTCTCCAGGCAAGAACACTGGAGTCGGTTGCCATTTCCTTCTCCAATGCATGAAAGTGAAAAGTGAAAGTGAAGTTGCTCAGTCCTGTCCAACTCTTGGCAAACCCATGGACAGCAGCCCACCAGGCTCCTCCGTCCATGGAATTTTTCAGGCAAGAATACTGGACTGGGGTGCCATTGCCTTTTCTGAGGTATGTAGCAATAACTAATAAATTCCAACAGGTACCTCTAGGAGGCCGATGGCTGTAATGAAAGCAGTGGCTAGTTCATATGAGTGAAAATGCTTAGAAACTATGTTGACTTAAATTTGCTTGCACCTCTTTTCTGCCAGTATTGTAATCATACCAATTAAATCCTGCCTCATCTAGTCATCTTTCTGTCATCACTAGCTCACAGACTCATCTCAAATTCATTATCTGAACTCAGCACACACCTGACACTTATGTCTGCACGGTGTATTTTTATAAGTATATGTAATAACTCCCTGCTAATGTGATACAAGCTCCTTAATGCCCAGATAACTTCTTCAGCACATGATGATGCACACCTTATACACAGAAGTGTTCAAGCACTGATCATAAGATCTTTTTAAACTTTTAAAAGTTGAATGCCTTTTCATATACTGCTAGTAGGATTGTAAAATATTTCAATCACCTTATAAAGCAGTTTGGCAATTTCTTAAAAAGTTAAATATACACCAACCATATGATCCAATGATCCAGCTGTTTCAACTTCTAGGTAATTTTACCCAAGAGAAATGAAAGTATATACCATTAAAAGATACAATGTAAATGAATGTAATGTGAACATAAATGAACATTTAATAACAGCTTTATTTATAATAGAAACAAAACAATCTAGATATCTGTCAATAGATGAATGGATAAACAACTATGGTATGTCCATATAATGGAATACTACTGAGCAATAAAAGGGAATGAACTGTTGATACATGCTATAATATGGTGGCATGTCAAAGTAATTCTGATAAGTGAAAGAAGCCAGACCAAAGAGAGGTATACATTCATATAAAATTCCAGGAAATGGATGGTAATATATAGCAACAGAAAGCAGATGAATGGTTGGGAGTAGGGGGGGCAAGGAAGGCAGATAGATTGCAATGGGGTAAAAGGAAACTTTGAGAGTGATAGGTATGTTCACTGTTTTGCTCATGGTGATGCTTTCATCATATGACATCATATGATATATATTAAAGCATACCAAATTGTGTATTTTATATACGTGAAGTTTATTGCATGTCAATCATATCTCAATAAAACTATTAAAATCTACTTTTGTCATTGTTAGAGAAGTATAGGCAAGATTTATTAAGTAATATTTTTTAAAAATCATGAATTAGTAAATCTAAATTACTTCTCATATATACATTGTCCTTCAATTACTCTCCTGTGTTTTGATTTTGTTACCATAGATGTCAGACAGAAACATGAGAATAGCATTTCAGATAATCTTTTTATTTTAGCTCAACCCCCTATTAGTAATTTGACCCTTTTTCATTGAGAAGTAAATAATGACATTCTCTAGCATTTTAATAATTATTATATATATTTCAATTAATATTAGTTTACTCAAGGCCATAGATGACTGACTGACACATGCAGTAGGCATTTTCTAATACATTTGTTGGAGGGAGAGGGGAGAGCTCTCTGAAAAAGTAACTTGAAATGAATTTCTGGGTAGAACACTAGGATATTTATTAAAAGCCAGATGTTGACTTTTTTCATATTTAATTATTTTAATAAGCATGTGACACTGTTAAGAAATAAGCACAGAATCCTTCAAAACTTGTACACATCCGTGTGTGTGTGCTCAGTTGCTAAGTCATGTCTGACTCTTTGCAGCCCCACAGACTGTAGCCCACCATGCTTCTCTGTCCATGGGATTTCCCAGGCAAGAATACTGGAGTGGGTTGTCATCAGATGTTGGCTTTTAACAGTTGCTTCACTTGATGAAATGTTGAGTGGATCAGGTGGGGAGTATTATGGCCCTCCAAAGATAGCCACAGTCCTCATCCTCAGGACCTTGTGAGTATGATTAAGTTAAGCATCTTAAGATAATCCTGGATTGTCCAGGTAGGCCCAAAATAATCACAAGGGTCCTTATAAGAGGGAGGTGGGGGTATCAGAGTCAAAGAATGAGATATGACAGTGGAAGAAGAGAAATGTAACATTGTTGGCTTTGAAGATGGAGAAAGGGGAACAAGCCAAAGAATGTGCATGGTCTCTGGAAACTGCAAAAGGCGGAGAATAGTTCTCAAATGCCTCTAGAAGGAACGTAATCCTGCCAACATCTTGACTTGAGCCCAGTTAAACTTGTGTTGGACTTCTGACCCTCACAAACTATAAGTTTGTGTAGTTGTAAACCACAAAGTTTGTGGTAATTTGTTAGAGCAGCAATAGAAAACCAATAGTGAATAAACATGCCAAAATAGGGGAGGAACACTGAGATCCTCCAGACATCTTTGCCCAAAATAAAACGATTCCATTTTATAAACAGACAACCTAATTTGAACTTCCTCCACCTTCCAGCCCGTTATCTCAATTATTTTACATGGATCTGTTGTGTTTGTTACTTGATTGGCATCTCTCCTATCCTGCTTGCCATGGCACAGTTCCAAACCCCACACTTATAAATTTCTTCAGCTGGAATTAATACCTCTTTTCTTTGAACTGCTAATATAGATACAGGTATCTTTTTATTTCTCTATTTCTTGACTGTGCCTCAGCTTTCCAAAACAAAAAATCTTTTTGAAACTACCTATGATATGAGGTTAAAAATATGGTGTGATTAATATTACATCAAAGATGCTGGCATGTGATGTCTAAAGGTCAACTGACAGGGACATAACTCATCAACAGAGGAAGTGGAAAGTGGGGAGCACATCTGATTTTCTGTACTCCTCAGAATCAGATATAGAGCTCAGGTTCAATAGTAGTATACTTGGCTACCAGCTACGACTAACAGTTTTTTAATAGTAACCAACCCAGGCAAGTTTTTGAAGAATTTGGCACACATTTCATCCCAAAAACCTATGAAGAAAGGGTTATCCATTTGGTGGTTTCTTAAAATGTTATTTCCTTATTTCTGTACAGATATACTATGATCAAAATGTGAGTAATTAAATCTTTTTGGATAGAGCCTAAGGAAAGGTATTTTGCTCAAAATTTTTTTAATTTAATAATTTAATAAAATTACTTTAGGACACATAAAGATTAGTGACAAGATTTTTGATGACAGAGTATTAAAATGTGTTATGATTCTCAAATTTTCCATGTATTTAAAATGTGTTACATGTTATATACCTCAGAAACATGTAAAAGACATTAACATATTAAAATACAAATGGTTTTCTTTAATACATCATTTCATTGTATCAGAAGGTAGTCTCTCAGTGGTAAATTTCTTCACTCATCATAGTTTTGCTTCCTAAGATATGCATGAGTGGACATTTTCTACATCCTGATGGAGACCTGGGCTATCCGTTTCTATGAAGAAAATGGGAAGCATCTGATTGAGAAATCAAGATGATATGGAACCTGAGACCACACAAACTTCTCATGTAAAGGGCAAAAAAGCAACGAGAGTTCAGCTAGAAATAAGTTATTTTATTTTAAAACACATACATATTAATAAATATTATTGGAAAACTTAATAAATAGCCTTTTATTTACATAAGGCAATTACAACATGCTATGACTACTTCTATAAAGCAGAATATAAGCAAGTATTAGTCATTGACAAATATGTGTGTGTACTAATTGGAAGCTCTTCTGATACATTTACATGAAAAAGATTTTACGCAACCAACCAACATTTTACATTTTTATCTAGTTTTATTCCTCTTTCACAATTATATTCCATTTTACAAGAAAGTTATTTAAAGAGGCAAAAACACTCAGGAATTCTACTGAAAAACAGTACTCTTAAATTTTTCCAAAGTGTAAAAACACTGACATGAGGTTGGGGTTGGGGGCAAATTATTACGGTCTGACAAATGAAAGAGATTCTGCGCTTTTCAGTGTGACCCTTTGGCACTAATGGTTTGGGAGTTCCTGACATTCAGCTGGTGTCAGGTAGTTCATGGTCAGGGTTGAGCCACTTGGAAGCAGGAAGTTCAGCATCACCCATTACAAATTCAACACAACAGAATTAATCTGGTTTACAGGTCATTGATTCTTCTGCAGAACATACACCTTTGTGGAATGTCAGAGAAGCTCATTACACCATCAGAATGTGATCTCTCAGTGCAGCTTTTTAAAGTCTTTGTTTAACTTCCATATTTTACAACAATATATAAAACCCTTCTTTTTAAAACAAAAAACTAAAGGAAAATTAAAGCTTCGTAAACTCATGCAAGCTTTACACCCAGCGCTTCCTCTGCTTACTCAGTGCTTGAAGTTGCGTGTCTACAGCATGGTCCTGAGCAGACGGGATGCCCAGTCCATCACTCCCAAGGGGTCCTGTCCATGCGCTCTGGTCTGAGGTGACCAGCATAAGCTAAACATGCAAGTGCTCTAACACAGACACGGAGACCCATCCCACCCTTTAGAGGTAGAGAAACTGAGGCACAGAAAGGTTAAGTGACTCACCTACAGTTGCACAATTCAGAGGAAAATAGAAAAAAGAACAAATAAATCCTCCCGGCTCATGCTCTGGGGCCTAAACTATGCTTTTTTTCATATTGGGTACATTTGAAATAGATGCTTATTTACATGATCATTGTTCTACTGAATATCAACTTTTCACTAGACAGTATTTTTTGATGTAACAGAAAGTTACACTTTTTTAAAATATAATTCTTTTGTTGCATTTAACCACATGTGAGAAATACTATGAAAGTAAATGAGTTGTGAAGTTGGGCCAAATTCTTGTTCCCGTTCCTATATTTCTTAATCTATTCAAGTATATGATGGAGGTATAAGAATCTGGCCAGATGTGAAAACTCACCTATAAGCTTAAGGATAAACCCTCAAAATTCATCACCAGTACAACTTTGAGGCGGAGGTGAGGAATACAGAAAGTTGAGGTATTTTATATGATAAACTGTTTTATGGTGTGACTGGTGTACAAACTGGTCTTTCTCTTCCTAACTCAAACTAACAGACCTCTAGCTACAGCTATGAGTAAAACATATGAAAAAACTATCAATAACACAGACATGTCTTTGAGAGGAAGGTCAATGCTAAGGAGTTAATGTTACGTTTTTGGTCCCTGAGAAGGTAGAACACCAAGATTCCATCAAATCCTGCTTGATGGGTGAACTATTTCCATGGTGTCAGACACAGTAAGGACAACTTCATCAGACCACTGGAGCCAACTGGTCAGTTGTGAACAGATCTAAACTAATGCTTCTTCTCTTTGCAGGTTCCTACTCAGTCCCAGGAATTCTAAGTCAGGATCAAGTAGGCATCAAAGAAGAGTGATGGGCAGAGCTCTGCAGATTGCTCTTCTGGGTTAGTTGAGACGCTCAGAAAAGAGAGCTGTCATCTCCTAACAAGAATTAGGCAGCATGACAGTAGCCTGTGACCAACAAATACCTCAGTCTCCGTGAACTCATCCAGGCCTACAGACAGTGCATCTCAAGCACTTTACAGATCTAGGAACTACAGTCTAGGAACTGGCCTCTAGAAAGTGAGCACAGTATTTACAAAGAGCTGAGAGGTCAATGAAGAAGGAAGATGAGAGGTGACTGCCTACTTCAATAGTACTTTCTTCTATCAGATGAGAAACCCAAAGAAAAACCCATTCTATTGAGCACAGCTAGAATCAACTTCTGGAAATAAAACTGCATATAACAAACTGGCTTGAAAAGTAGGACTTGAAAGAATATTTCTTATTGCTGAAGCAAGAGCAGCAAAGTGTATTTCACTAACTTTCTAATGTGAAAAGACCATAATAACATCTGAGCGATGATACCCCCTGAAGACCCACCTGTGGGGAGTTCTTGCTCCCCATGTGGCAGCAGGGAGACTGCCCTTTCTTTCTGGATTCTTCTCTGCAGAGGTGGAGTAGTCCTATAGAACAGCAAAACACTCAGGGTGATCTTGGTGCTGGGTTTGGGTTAGAATCCTTAATAGGCCATATACACTTAACCACTGAGCAGAACAGGAAGCAGTCTTTTTAAATGCAAAGATTCAGAGGAGAAAACAAGGCATTGTCCAACTAAGAGAGGAGAGAAATGGCCTATTTAGGTATCTATCCAGGTAAATGTGCAAGTTTTGATCACAAACATACAATTTTACAGGAGGCTTGAAAACAAGTGGACAATTTTTTTCCTTAGTTTTATCAAAGATAAAACCCAGAGAATAGCATAATAAGGAAAATGTTTACTTTTGAAAAGATCACTGTAAGACCTATCCCCATTCTGGGCCTTTCTCTTTAAAGCTTTTATTTTTTTAAATTCCAAATAAATTATAAAAACACAGATTTGTAAAATAAGTACTGTAAGTCAGAAGTTATATGCTCTATGTCAAAAGTAGGCTGTTAGACTGCTAGTCATGTCAATTACTTCCAGGCTACAGTCACACTTGGAATACAATGGATGGTATGAATTGCATTCCAGTGGAAGAAAAGCTGTGCATCCTACCAAAGTTATCTGCTAAACAGATATAAATTTGGAAGAGTCTAACTGTTTTGGGGCTTATCACCTTCAAGAGATGACAAGTTGTTTATACTTTGAGATTTTATTTTACTAAAAAAAAAAAATCATAGGGAGATAATCCAGAAAATATCACCTTTAAGTGTCTATGGAATACACAGATTAACTGCAACCAGGAACATCAATAGATGGATTTAAATAAACTAAGCTTCACATGGAAACTGCAACCAAAAAAAAAAGAAAAAGGTAATTTCCATAACTTTCTTATGATACTTGTATAGTCACATGTATTTTTTGAATATCTCAACTCCTTACCTAGGAAACTATTTTTATGCTGAAAAGTATATTTATACACCTCCATTTTTAGAAAATTCAGTTCAATAAATTAAGGCCTGTATTCCTAAAAATACTGATGATAAAAAACAAACCTTCAAGAGTTGATAAAAAGAGTAATGGATTTCTGGGAGCATTTTACTATCAGTAAATGCTGGGAGCATTTATTAACTATCAGTTACTATAAGATTTAGAAAATTTTTAAAATACTCTTGCTGCTGTTAGTTCACAGCTCACTGACAACTCATGATCATCCAATGTACTTTTAATTCACAGGGGTGTTTTTTGCTCTATCCTTGTTTTATTTAGCCTCTTTATTCAACACTTTAGGAAGCTATCCCTCAGGTCTTTAGAAATGTTCGTTTCATATAAAAAAAATACATTTTTTTCTATTGACATTCCTTAGTAATTTTAACTGGGTATTATTAAATTCTTTGTTCTACTTCACCAAGTCAATCCCATCACCTTACTCAATCCCATCTTTCAACTTGGCTTAGTTCCCTATTTAGACAAAACACTGCCCTTAGGACTTTCCTGGTGGTCCAGTGGTTAAGACTGCACTTCCACTGCATGGGGCACCGTTTCAATCCCTGGTAGGAAAACCCCACATGCCTCACAGAGTGGGATGGGGAGAACAGTATTGCAGATGAAGTATATGATACCTTGATGAATATTTGCATCACTCTGTGCTTTGTTACTATTTCATACACAGGGAAGATTACTATAGACAGGCAAATGACCTCTTTTGATCCAAATACTGGGATCATTAATGGCTATTTTGCATTTCAGAAGTTTAATGAGAGATTGGGTGAGGGACTGCAGAGTGCTTTGTCATCTCAAACAACAGGGAGATGGTTAAACTGTTTTCATTTTTGTTAGAAATTCTTTCTAAAACTATGTGTGTTCCAACTTGTAGCAAAAACAAAAAACAAAAAAACTTAAGCTTAATTGCGTCCTTTAACTTGTTCCTGAACTCATATGTGCCACTTAACAGTTAACTCTCTCATTTAACAGCCTTATTATCAAGTTAAATAATTTCTTCTTAGTGGCCACAATGTTTACTGAATGAGAACATAGGTAAATTTAATACTGGATCCCAGTTATATTAGACTGAATACAAATAAAATACCTCATGCTACTTATTCAATTGTCTTTAATTGGACTATAACACATGCTGAAAGGGTCAACTTACTCTAATGTGTCTTTCATCTTGATTCTCTTCCAATAAATAATATACTATAATTTATAACTGCTTTGAACATTTATAGTTTGAATAGTGAAATACTAAAGTATAATCATGGAAGTTGCATTATTCTAATCTAAGAGAACAGACACACAGTAATAGTCAAATTAAGTGAATAGTTCAAGTGATAAAGGCACTGAAATTGATTTGAGCTACTGAAAATCATCCTGCAAATGGAACAGTATATGGTATCCACTCTTCTCTCTCTGTTTCCAATTAAAATGTCTAGGAGTCAGGGGTAGGAGAGTCAACACATCAGAGGATTAAAAACAATTAAATGTATATACCTCTGATTTGGATGGAACACCTGAATTTTATACATGCTTAATGCAAAATAACAAGACTAAAGACACACATTTACTGTAAAGTCAGACTTCAAGACAACACTTTCTCCTATTTCCAAAGTAAGCTTCTAAATAAGAACATCTGTTCCCCTGCAAACACTAACCAGAATAGGCCCATTCTATTTAAATAATGATAGTGTTTTAAAAGCAAAGAGTATTCATCAAAGCTTCCAGGTTAATGGCAATGAACATAAGATTCCTCTCATCAGAGAGAGATGACACTCAGGCAACCACTGAGCAACTTCAGTGAACAGAAGGCTGAGTCCACACTCCAGTGCTAAGCAACGCATCCTCATTCTCCACCAGCCTATTCATCATATACAAGCAACTCCAACACAAGCGATGTACTTGTGTAAATTTACTTTTCTTCTTCACATCAAATTAGGACCAGAGACCGTATCTTCTTTCTGTTCCTCAAGCCATACAATTTCCTGTTACATCCTAGTCTGTTTTCACATTAGATTTGTTCATCTCCCCCAGGTTGAAGTTGAACTCTTTGAACACCTGTATAAGGACAATTCCAACGGAGACAGTGGTGAACCCACAGGCCATGCCCAAGAAGTCCACCAGACCCACGTTGCTCCACTCCCGGAAGAGGATGGCTGAGGCCAGCAAGACCAGTGTGGTGAACACAACATAGTAGATGGCCCCAAACACAGAGGAGTCGAAGCACTCAAGGGCCTTGTTGATGTACCTGAACTGGACGATGATGCTGCAGCCAAGCACGGCCAGGAGCACCAGACACAGGCAGAGGGCCCGCTGACTAGACGGGTTGTTGTGGAAGATGTCTTGGGCAGCCAGCCCAATGCCCTTGGTGGAAGGCACGGTGAAACTCCCCAGCAAGGAGCAGATGCTGATGTAGACCATGATGTTGGTGGGCCCATGGGCCGGTGCAATCCAGAAGATGAGCAGCAGCAGCATGAGCAGCACGATGCACAGATAGCCCACAAACACTGGAAAAGAGAGGGCACACAGTGATGCGGGGGGCCCAGCAGAGCAGCCCCCATCACACGCTCCGCCACCTGCCCCTGCCCTTGCCACC